AAAATGGAATTTGACCTACAAATGTCTGAAACACACCTTATTCATTTATGATGTACTAATAACAAACATATATTCAGATAACAAATACATTATTGTTCAGAAAAGAGCCCCACATTAAAGGGTGATGTTCAGTCCAAGTAAATACAGAAAACTTGCCAAAACCATCTGTTTGACTCCCGATGATCTCATTTGTTTTCATCAAACGATATTGAGTTTTTTCAAATTAGATTAATCTTCTGCTCAGTTGTTAGGCAATTCGGATAAAAATGTGTAACTATTATTAGTATAAAAATAATCTCAAAAGCACAGTAAAATACTTGCCTGAGAGAAATTAGTTATGATTTACTTTTTTTTTTAAAGAATATTCTAGCTTCACAAAAGCTAAGGACAATTTAGTAAGCAGCACTATTCCACAAACACCTAGCCCATGGATTAGTAAATAATTGTTAAATTAATGAACGAATGGAACACATTAATCGCATTCAATTAAACAAAACAGGAACACAAATCCATGCACACACAAAACCTTTCTAAGAATACTTTTGAAATATGAACTTTCCTATTTCTGTTCTCAAGTAGATGTACTCTCCTACCATTGCCTCTTCAATATCAGCATCTTTTTCGGAGGAAAATAAGTCAAAGTCATGATAGGCTGTTATATTTTTGTCTGACCCTTCTACCCCTCCTCAAATAATCAACAAACAAACAAAAACTTATTACAGAATTGTTTTAATTCAGATTTGTTTAATTCAGGGAAGCCTAGAAACTGATACTTTAACAACTTCCCCAGGTGATTTTGAGTGACAGGCAATGACTAAGACCTATGTCATGCCTCTGTGTGTGCCAGAATCTTCACCCAGGAACCTTCTGCAGAGCAGCCCTTTTTTGAATGTGATTAACTTTTACTTGTTCATAAATATGCATTGCTCTTCTGGAAAGCATTCCCAGGCACATCCCCAATTCCTTGCCTGCTAGCTATCTTCCTTCTCTTCGGATATGGTTTGGCTGTGTCCCTACCCAAATCTTGTCTTGAATTATAATCCCCACAATCCCCACATGCTGTGGGAAGGACCTAGTGGGAGGTAATTGAATCATGGGGGTGGTTTCCCTCATGCTGTTCTCATAATAGTGAGTGAGTTCTCATGAGATCCGATGGTTTTATAAGTGTCTGGCAGCTCCTACTGCCCTGTGAAGAGGTGCCTTCCACCATGATTGTAAGTTTCCTGAGGCCTCCCTAGCCATGTGGAACTGTGAGTTAACTAAACCACTTTTCTTTATAAGTTACCCAGTCTTGGGTATTTCCTTACAGCAATGTGGAAATGGACTAACATACCTTCTCTCTGCACTTGGACATGACTTCCCAGAGAACTTCTCAACTAGATGGTACTTCTGTGTGTCCCCTCCATGAACCATCCCCCCACCCTAGTCCATGGAAAAATGGTCTTCCATGAAACTGGTCTCTGATGCCAAAAAACCTGGGAACCACTGTGTTAAATGCTCTGAAAAATGAGGCTCCATTTATTTGCTAAGGAGACCCCACTGAATATTATGTTATATATATATATAAATATATAATATAAATATATATATTTGTGTTAAAAATTATAATATGTCTAACTTATATATAAATTATATTATATATAATATACATAAATTATATATAACATATATAAATTCTTTGACCCTAAGACAATCATGCTTAGATATTATTTATTTTTAAAGTAAAGTATCAGCAAACTTCTCCCTTACTATGATCCTCACTAAATCACTCTCATTGAGCAAGAACAGTCAAAAGCTTCAGTATGAATATGCAGGTGCTTGTTAGAGGACTTATCAGAAATGCAGCTGCTACTACTGTCTCAGAATTTCTGCCTCACACTGATTTGCTGTTGTTGTTTTCTTCTATATGAATGCAGAATGCAAAAGAGTTACAGAGTGGCTTACTGGGATTTCTTGGAAGGCCAAACCCAGATTGGGTTAATGCAGATCTGAGGGGCCTCAGGGAATGCCCTCATGAGAGTCTCCCTCCAGTCCCTATTCCTTTACTATATAAGGCTCTTTGGTTTTAGCTTCTCACCTTTACTCATACTCAAAGCAAAAATACAAGGTACAACCTAACTGCCCAAAAATGTGGTCAGAAACAACCAAAGGAATGTTGGTGCATTCTTACAACAGAATCTCATGCATCTATTAGGGACAATATGTCCAAACAACAGAGCTTATGCCCTAATGTTCAGTGGGAAAAAATATAAATAATGCAATATGAGTAGTAAAATATCAACCCTGTAAACACTTTTACATGGGAAAATACAGAAATAAATGTATCAAATGATAACAATTGTTACTTCTGGATGGTGAAATGTTTTTTCCTGCTTTTCCACAGTTTAAACTATTTTTTGAGGATTCTCCTATGAGCATACGTTACAATTCCAATCAAAAAAAAAAAAACTTTCCAAAATACTGGGAGTCTCCAGTACTTACGAGTGAACAGGACTGTGTCCCTTCAAACCCCTGAGACAAGCACTGTATTATGCAGTAGAAAGAGAGAGAATGAAGGGTGCTTCTTTAACATCCACCCCACGGCCCCTGAAAAGTCAGACTCACTGTATTAGTTAATTTTCAACACTGCTACACGGAACTGCCCAAGACTGAGGAATTTATAAAGGAAAGAGGCGTAATTGACTCACAGCTCAGCATGGCTGGGGAGGCCTCAGGAAACTTACAATCATGGCGAAAGGTGAAGAGGAAGCAAGGCACCGTCTTCACAAGGCAGCAGGAAGGAGAAGTGCCAAGCAAATCAGGAAGAGCCTCTTATAAAACCATCAGATCTTGTGAACAGCATAGGGGAAACCATCAACATGATTCAATTACCTCCCCCGGGGTCTCTCCCTTGACATACAGGGATTATGGGGATTAGACTTCAAGAAGAGATTTGTGGGGCCACACAGAGCCAAACCATATCACCCATTCAGGAATCCCTCTCATGAAGATCCACCTCAGGGAAGGGCAGGATTCTTGACCTCCCACCAAATACCTTGGGATTTCCATTAGGAAGAGAACTCAGGATACTGTACCTGCTGGCGCATTCTTGACCAGTTTGGTTAGAAGAAGCTTATCATCATAAGCCCAAAAAGAATGTTCAGGAAATGTGTCTGTCTTGGGTCTCTTTCCCTTGAAAGATTAGGATAAGAGAAGGAATGGGTGGTGATAAAGGAACTAACAAGTCAAGAAGGCTACACACACTGCATGAGAAAGCTCCCTACCACACGACCAATCATGGAGCAGCAAACGGAGAGCCTGTCAAGCATGGAAAGGGCACCAATTATACTTCTATGACCTGAGAGATGGTGACTATGCAATACGGTGAATGCATCTTTCCATGTTAGTCCCTCCAACACAGTTGTCCTCATTTTTTGTTTTTTGTCTTTTTTTTTTTTGAGATGGAGTTTCACTTTGTCACCCAGCTGTAGTGCAGTGGCATGATCTTGGAACTGTAGTGCAGTGGCATGATCACTGCAACTGCCTCCTGGGTTCAGCACTTCTCCTGCCTCCACCTCCCCAGTAGCTGGGATTTTAGGCACCCACCACCACACCTGGCTAATTTTTGTATTTTTAGTAGAGACAGGGTTTTATTATGTTGCCCAGGCTGGTCTCAAACTCCTGACTTAAACTGATCTGCCCACCTTGGCCTCCCAAAGTGCTGGGATTACAGGCGTGAGCCACAGTGCCTGATCCTGCTGTCCTGATTTAACAAATGAGGTGATGAGATCAAGGGAGGGTCCATGTCTCCCCTTGCTGACATGGAAATGTGGTAGATGAGTTTCCTGAAGCTTAAGACAATAGACATTTATTGTCTCACAGTTCTGGAAGCTAAAAGTCCAAGATCCAGGTGTCGGCAGGGCATGCTGCCTCTAGGCGGGTGGCAGCGTCACTCCAGCTTCTGCTACGCTATGTGTGTCTCTGTCTGTCTCTGTTTCTTCCTCTTCTTATAAAGACACCAGTCACATTGAATTTGGAGCCACTCAAATTCAGTATGAATTCATCTTAATTAACTGTATCTGCAAAAGGCCTAGTTCCAAACAAGGTCACATGCTAAGATTCCAAGTGGATGTGAAATTTTGGGGAACACTCTGCCACCCAGTACACTTGGATTCTGATTCAACAGGGTGACTTCAGAGCCCACACCCTGAACACTGGGCTAATGCTGCCTCCTGTGTGCCCCCACGCTGTGAAGCGCTGTTGACATATTGACGGTGTGAAATCCCCAGGGAGCTGGCCATCTACATGAAACACAGAGGGGAAAAATCACACCACTGCAGTATCCATGTGGGCTTCTGGAGGTCACAGAAATCTAAAGGGAACATGGTAGATAAGGGCTGGGCACCTTGAACACAGGCAGCGCCCAGATAGGTTGGGGAAAAGATCTAAGCTAAGGCCATGGGAGAAGTGAGACCAGGAACAGCACATTCCAGACAGAGCACGGGGCTGGAGGGCAATGGAAAATGAGGCTGGAGTAAGGAGGCATTAGAGATGCTTCAAAGACAGGCGAAGGGACTTAGATCTACTTTAGAAGGAAAGGAAAATTTTAATGAGGACCAAAATGATAAAATACAGGCTTAAAGACTTCTCTGGCAGAGGTGGGCAGGGTGAGCGTGACGCCTGGAAAAACTGAGTGTTGAAACTTGTTGACAAAATATGTTCATGTGCGTGTGTACAAATATGCAGGGCATGGTGATTGCCTCTTCTCTACAACATTTTAACAACCTGCCTTAGACAATAAACCAAATATGCAGATGCTCACATAGTTTCATCTCTCTTCCAGGAGAGCACCCTTCCTTCCAGCCCCAGACACACACATACACACACACACACACACACCCCCTCTCCTCCCCACTCACGTGCACCCCAGCCAAGAGCTGAGTGAAAAGAAAGGTGAGAGAAAGAGAAATAAAAATGCCTGAAGCAGCAGCAGGAGAGAAGACGGCCAAGACATCAATCACCTTTGCACTGCTCACAACAGGCTCCCCTCTGCTTGATGGCCAGGGCGCAGTCTCGGGACAGCACGGGGCACTTCTCTCTCTTACATGTCACTTCCTTGTTCTAGGTAAAAAGAGACAGGAGACATTTGAAATAAACATCAAACAGAATTCCCCAAATCCTAACACATAGCAGAGGTTTTCCCAGCCCGCCTCTTATGTTGCCTTAACTTGGCAAGAAAACACTGTGAGAGTGAATAGGATTTTGCTGTCTCTGAAACAGAAATTCCCACCCAGGAACGCAGGACTTTGGAGATCAGAGTCAGAGAAGAGGAGATGAAAAGTCCCTTCTTTAAAAAGCCAGCTTCACCTAGATAACCGATTGCCGAGGGAGAAGTTGTCTCCTGCTCTGTTCTAAGGTTTCTTTTTAGTACACACTACAGAAACGATAATATTTACGTAAACCATATTTTGCCTGTTTGGCTACCTGAGCCAGGACTACATCGTGAGAACAAAAATATTTTCACATTGCTGTCCAACAATCCTTAATAGTAGAGTGCATTAAAATGCAGCAATCTAAAGTTCCAACTTAAATAATGACAAAATTGAGTATTGAATCGGCTCGGTAAAAGAAAAAATAATATTCTATATTCCAAGCAGAGACACGGTCCTCAGTGTTTTATAGCTGTGGGACAGCTGCGTTATATTAGCACTTACGCTAATGAAAGTGTGGTGAACATTTGCATCTTTGGTTTTTTCCTGAAAAGTTAGCTGTTAAAATGTCTTAGAGAAGATACAAACGTGACTGTATATGTCTGCTTGCATGTGGATTGTATGCACCTGAACCAAAAATACTGTCTCAAAAATTCAACAAAATGTGAGCTTTACCAAGTGACCACATGCTAGGTGCTTTCATTCTCACTCAAATTCTGTGAGGTCAGCATCATTATCCCCATTTCACAAACAAGAAAACTGCTGCTCAGAGAAAGTAGCTGACATTTCCAAGATTTCCCAGCTTTCAAGTGGGAGAGATGGAATTCAAGATGAAGACATAAACGCGTGCGCACCTATGCCCTTCCCTGGATGACAGCAAGCACTATCAGTGCCTGATTTGGAGGCAGGTTGGAGAGGAGCAACTGGCCAGCTCTGCTCACCTTGAAATGAATCGGCAACTCTCTTGGAATATGTACTAATAAAAAAGAAATCCAGACTCGGCCCTGACAACAAATTTGAGACACTCCTCAAGTATAACCAGTATGCTTCAATGTCATGAAACTAAGGAAGATCTCACCATTTTTTCCTCAGAACCAAGGAGATACATGCCAGCCTGCAGGGATGTGTGTGTGTGTGTGTGTGTGTGTGTGTGTGCACGTGCACATGTGTGTGTCCCTGAGTGCTTTGTATGTGTGTACATGTATGTATGTGTGTGTGCCTGCAAGCTTGTGTGGGTGCACATATGTGTTTGCATGCGTGTGTGTGTGTGTGTGTGTGTGTGTGTGTGTGTTGGAGTCTGGGAGCCCAAACCAAGCTCAGACACCAGGGTCCAACTCTAAGGTAGTTTCAAAATAAAACTTGTCACCTTCTATGCCGCTCTGAAATTCCCTGCGAGTTCCAGAGCCCCCCAAGATGCTTCCAGGGTCCGATTCTAAAATAAATCTAGGTTGCCATCGCCTCTTCTCTCAAAGATCAGAACATCTGCGGGTCCCAGAACCCCACTCCCTCTGACTCATAGTCACAACTGCCCGAGAGTGAGTCTTATGGGGAGGGTTGGGCCTTGCCTTGCCTACAGCTGTTTCCACATCAGTCCTGTTATTTCCCTACCCCACGGCTTTTGCAAGGCCAACTGAGGCACAGAAACAATAAGCCATGACCAGCGTTGCTCAAACGTTTCCGCTGAATAGCACACATAGAAAACGACTCTCATTTCAGTTAAGGAACACTGGGATGAACATGGTGAATATTCCTGAACAGTCCCAGGACTTGTCCAACACCCAGAGAAAGGAGATCGATCCACAGTCACCTGCACCCCACACCTGCACCCCACACCTGCACCCCACACCTGCACCCCACACCTGCACCACACACCTGCACCACACACCTGCACCACACACCTGCACCCCACACCTGCAGGGGTTGCTGCTGCTGTTTTTTTTCTGGTTCTCCTTATGATGAGAGGGTGACCTGAATCATTTGTCGTCCAGTCTCTCTCTCTCTCTCGCTCTCTTTCTTTTTTGGGGATCTGTATATGGTGCATGCTCTCAAGGGACTAACCTCATTTAGTTCTAAAATCCTGTAAGATAGTAACCTTCATCCTTCGCTGCAAATTAGTATCCCCTGTGGAGGTCTTAACAAACACTGGTGTGGTCTCCCAACCCCTGAAGCTCAGATCTGGTTCATCTAAGTACCAGGCATGGGTATTTGTTCAAGGTCCCAGGTAATTCCAACAAACATTGGGTTGAAAACTACTGCTGTTGGGAGAGTATTTCTGTGGCCACTGGGGCTGAGCTGGGATAAGGAGCTGTCCACAGTCCCTTTATGAACAGCAGACCTACAATCTGAAGCTAAGCATGCTGGCTCCATGTCCCCCAGAACTCCTTCCCTCACCCCGTCTTCTCCATGATGATGGTGGCATCAAGGCTAACTATAAGTCATGGTCCTTAGATTTATTTTTATAATTCTTTTCTTAAGTTACAAAAGTCATACATTGTTATGGTAACCATTCAAATTAATGAGACATATTTTTAAAAAATTAATAATCTCCCCCACTCCCGCCAAAGTCATCAAGGACTTTTTCTTCCACTCAGACACATATTTAATAACTGTAGAAATCCAAAAGAATTAGCATCACACCTTGAAGTTGTGAGTGAAGCTGTGGATTGGCTTGACTGGGCTCAGCCACTGAGCTGCCTCAATGGCTAAGGAACAGGATATAACTATGCGGACTTCTATGTTGTCTTAATCTCATTGTATGTAGTATGTATTTAGTTTCAATAAAGCATTTGTACCAATGGCTCTGGAGTTTGAAGGAAGACCAAAGGAATGTGTAGTGATTCTGAATACGATGTAGACCTATGCAGCAGAGCTATAGGGCAGAAGATTAACAAAGTCCTATCTTCCAGTACCAGGATGGTCATGAGTGGCAGTCCCATCTAAACAGGTCACTAGGGCTAGAAGGCTGGACCCTGCCCTCTCTGTCTCTGAACTATGATGGGTTCTTGCTCCCTCCAGAATATACATGCTGTTTGGCACTGTTGACAGTAACTTTGTTTTGAAAAGCGTAGTTCTTGCAAGCTATATTTCGATACTGACTCTCCCACCCCAGGACAATTGTGAAAGGAACTTCATTAACAGCGCTTCTGTTACCAGAACTTTTTGGCTTTATGCATTCAGCAAACCTGGCTGCAGCCTTAGCCAAGGGCCACTCCCAAGCACATCTCCCTCTCTGAAAGGAAGAATATTCAGATACGGAGAGTTCAAAGCTCTAGGGGCAGTCAAAGTGAAGACTTAATCTGGGATCTGATAAATGGGAAGGTATACACTCGCTTAAATATAGGAACTCTTTGCTGACTTAGAAACCTGGGAGCCAGTCAAAATCCATCACAGGATCCCAAGATTCATAATAAATAGCTTATAATTACAGTCCAGCATAAAAGTTATTCCAACCAGATGGTTTGTAGATTCACATCTGGAATTTTTTTTTTTTTTTTGTACATACACAGAAAGCAAACCTAAACCGTAGCTGTAGGTTTAGTGGGTTTCTCCCCCTCTGATTATACTGGAAGTTTTTAAATATCCTATCAATGGTCGCATTGGTACAGAGCTGCCATATCTGATCATTGCCCTGGTGTCTGATTGGCGTGGATGTGGACTATGTCTTTGGAATCCCAGGCCTTCCAAAAAAAAAAATTTAAAAGCTCAGGGAATTGCTGGTGAGAGCTTGGTTTCCTCCATTTCCTTAATTGAGTCCAGCAGCTACAGAGTAAATGCAAACACAGGTTAATTAAGAGCACTCCATTCGCTTTCCCAATTTTCCCAAGAGACAAAAACACTTGTCCTGGAGCCAGTGGCTCTGGTGAGAAGTGGCACACGCAAAGCCAGGCCTTCAGGACTCCCTCATCCCCGGGCTGCCTCATGCCCACATGCACTACGTGTCATTCCCCACCGTGGCTCGAGGTCATGGTTCATTCCGTCCACATCTTCATTCAAGAAACATTTTCTAATACTGGCTCACACTTACTGAACTCATTCTATGTGTGTTCAGGCTCTGTGCTAAGAATCTTATGCGCATTTTTTACACCATAAATTCCTCATGATCGCCATCTTACAGAGGAAGGATCACGGTTAGGAATCTTGCCCAGGGTCGCCCAAGAGACAGATCTGGAATACAAATAGAGATCTGTCGTTAAATGCACTTTGCTACTTCCCAGGCTTTCAGAATACAGAAGAGAACAAAACAATGTTCCTGCCCCGAGGCCCCAGGGGAGACTGGTGCCTTCCTGGTCGCTCCAGACAGGAACTCTCCAACGAGAGCAGAGCGACTCCAGGAGCCTGTGTCATGGCCAACCTCGGAAAGGTCTGCAGACACCAGCTGTTTTCTGGTAACAAGGAAAGTCGTTCCAATTTGTATATCAACGGAGATGTGCCTATCATGCCTCCAAAACTCAGACTGGCATCTTCAAACAGTTTTCCCCAAATTCCAGCTTGGGTTTGAGTCTCCTCAGATCTAAACAAGAGCAATGGTGGTAAAAATGCACTCAAGGAAAAGGTCAGAACCTAACCAATGAATAAGAGCAATAAACCTCACTGCATCTTTCATCCTCAGCCTCCCATGTGTCCCTATTTCTAGGGTTGCCAGCGTTGCCAGTCAGTGGTCTACCTGTTGTCGAAGGTGTCTGCACTACTGCCTCCTTTCAGGAAGATCATTAACCGATTCTCTAACATTGATCAAATACATCAAAACCCAAAACATAGCCCCTAGAGGCACATTAAATGAAGTGCCAACATGAAAAACTAAAACGGGGCATAGGGAGTAAAACATTTTTAAAGAATCAACATGACTGGCAACAAAGCTCTATAAGGATGTGAGCCAAACCACAGCTTCAGCCACAAGCCAAGTTCAAGCAG